CACACACACACAGAGTACTGAACACTAGTAGCATTGGCACAATGCTAGAAAAGTTTTGTTCACAGCAAATTATACTCACATTCTTTTCTGTTTAAGGACCCGCATGGCTTTCTGCTTTACCATGTTCTGAAAAAGACAACAGCGCAGAGACAATGGTCAACACTATTAGTAAATCAAAATCTAATTTATGTTAATGTTTCCATGTTAATGTTATCACACTCCATTCCCCATTCTTCTGCCAATAATTCAAGTAATTCAAACGTTACAGCAGTATTTGAAGGATTAGACATGCGTATGCAGACAAGTATGTAACAGAGGTGGAACGTATTCAAGTAATTATATTTTGTTAGTAGTATTTTAGGAGATTTGTTTAGCTGAAAATGAACAATTGTACTCAATTACATTTAAATGAAAAACTTGCTTCTTACTCGTTATACTTTTATTTAGCTTTACAATGTCCCAGTACAAATGATTCGTTTACTTTTATTCTGTCCAGCTACCAGATTGTTAGACTGTGCCCATGATGGCCTCAGATTCCTGTTCTTGGCTGACAGTGTCTATATCATCCTTACCTTTGATGGCCCATCTCTCATTTTCTTCATCTGATCTTTATATTTCATCAATTCAGCATCAAGTCTGGATATCTTCTTATCAATGGACTCGGCCCGAGAATCAACCTAGGGTTAAAGGAAATTGGAGAAACTGCGGTTAATGCTTAAAGTGAAAAGATAATATCCATTCCAATTAGTCATGTGGTGAAATGTCAAGACTTCAGATGGTAAAGGATGCACATAACAATGTCTTGGTGTCTGTGATGCAATCATCTGCAAAAAACACGTGGGACCGGTTTGGTCACACGCCGTTTACACACCCTTTCATCCTGAAGGAACTATTTAACACAGTCCAACCTTTATTGACTATGGAGCTCTGCTGGTGACGTCTCTGCTTAATCAAAATAGTGCATGGCCATGATGCGTAGGAACGGATTCCTAATGCATGTCGTCAACTTAGACAGGGCTGGGAGCAAGCTAATTAAAGGAAAACTCCACCCTGAAACATTAAATGTGTTTATATTCAAATAAATGTGTTGTGCTTAGCGATTCTGCTACTAATTTGTTGACTGGTGCTGTATTTTCATTATCGCTGTGAGAAGTTAGCAGTTATGTGTCACACTGACATCACAAGGCCTCAGACATAAGAGATAATGCCCAGGTTTCAGTCAGCACCTAAAAACAAAAGAGCAATTCACCATTTTTCAGTGACATTCAACATCATACGAATTTGAGATCCAGTGTTGAAGTAGTGGAGGCAGCAAACGCCGGAGTCAAAGTTGCCGAATACATTGCAGCTATATGACACAATTGTGCCGGGTTTCAGCCGAGATTTGGCCTGTCTAGTTAGAGATCTAGGAGATGAATAACTAGACAAGGTTATTTACAACCTATTACAGTGCCAAATGATGTAGGGAAAGCTGCACTATGGAGGAATTATGGCCTTGTCGTTACAACCAATAAAGAGCTCAGCAGTGACGTGCAATGTAGGGCTTGCAAAGCTGTCTAATTATCATTTTTATTAAGAAGGAGATGATTAACTAGACAAGGTCTTAGAATGAAAGCTGAAGAGTTGTTATGTTATCTGTTTGAGCAGAACATACAGATGTACATTACAGGAAGTGAGAGAGCTAGACGGACTCGAGGTCTGCTACTCGGCCCGACGGGTCCCCAAAAACTCACGGGTTTCAGAAAACGGCAGACAGCAAGCACACCTCATGAGTGAATTTAGCTAGTAACCCAGTTGTGCGCAATGAGTGAGATTAAAGCAAAAAAAATTATTAAGGGAGAACTTATTACAGTGCCAAATGATTCAGGGAAAGCTGCACTGCGGAAGAATTGTGACCTTGTCGTTACAATCAATAAAGAGCTCAGCAGTTACGTGCAATGTAGGGCTTGCAAAGCTGTTTTTGTTTGTTTGTTTTTTGCAAAGCAAAGTTTCAGAACTGGTCAGTAACTATTTGTTCTCTTTTGCTCTTGTGTGCTGAAGGGGCTGCTGTGCCTTGACATACTGCAAAAAGTTAGTTGTTCTGAGAAACCAATTTCGGATTCGAGTCGAGTTGGGTCTTAAAATTTAACAGTACAGGTAGGGTCGGGTCGGGGCAAAGGATCTCGGGTACAGACCGGGTTCAGGCTTCAATTTAAAGCCCAGGCAGACCTCTAGGGCTGACTAAAGGATTAAAGCACTGCTGCAACAGTCCCTTCAGGTACACATGCAGTGTGGCAGTCGTGGCAGACTTGTAACCTGAAGATGAACCTGAAGGTCGCGGGTTCGAGTCTCAGGTCCGGCAGGGATTGTAGGTGGGGGGAGTGAATGACCAGCGGTCTCTTCCACCCTCAATACCACAACTGAGGTGAGACCCTTGAGCAAGGCACTGAACCCCCCCCCCCCCCCCCCCCCCAAAAAAAAAGCAAAAAAAGGCTGCCCACTGCTGCGGGTGTGTGTTCACGGTGTGTGTGTGTGCACTCGGATGGGTTAAATGCACCACACTTGGCTACACTTCACTTCACATGGTAGACAAACAGCATTGTGGGTAACATAGGGAACTGCTAAACAAAGTGAAAACAGATGAATATGTCAGCGAAACAAGTTTAAACTAAAAAACTCAGAATTGTATTAAATCTGGGACCCCACTGAAGATCACACGTTAATTGTAAAGATTAATATCGTTCAGGGTGGATTTTTCTTTTGTGTGTGGCCACAAGGGGACAGAGGATAGGTTTTCCTACAAAAACAGAGATTTCTTTTTTTTTTTTTTTTTTTTCCATTTCTTGAAATGAATTAATAATGATATACTCGAGTCACTGAGTCATGGTCAGACATTATTATTATGATTTTTTATTAAGAAAGAATGTCACTACTGGGGGTCTGTCACAATATGTTATGTACACACAACTAGAGCAGAAATTATATAGCACCGGACATCATATAATACAGATTCCTGTAACTGTAACGTTAATGATTATAATTTTTAAACCTTATAGGAAGAAAATTCCTATGTCTGTCTGCATCTCCACTACACTTCCACATGACACAGCAAAAACTCAGCGCGAGACAAAACCAGTTAGCAAACAGGCTAGCTGTCAGGGTGAAGCTGGTGAGCTAACCTGTCAGTGCTGCCTAACCAACAGAGCGAGTCTGTTTACTAACCAGCTAAGCTAACGCTATTACTGACCATTACTCACATAAAAACATAGCTAAACAATAAGCAGCCAGCTAAAGGCAGGCTTTTTTTTTTTTAACCAGGTTACACGCAGTTCAAAGGCAGTAACTTTAGCGACTCTATTGTGTGGGACAGCAAACCCTCCTTATTCTAACAGCTAGCTAGCCACCAAATCAGTTTCGTTGTTTATTTCGTTAGACAGCTCTTAAAACCTGGATAAACAAAAATACTTACGTTTCCTATACAGTCCGTAAGGTTGGGAGGAGGTGCATTAGGTTTTCCTCTACCGAAAATGCGGTTCATTTTGACACTTTTTTAAAAAGAAAAATCTAAAACAGCAGTCAAATTGTGCTTCCTAACAACAGCAACACTAGCCACCTCAAAATCCCGGAAATAGACTCACACTGACGTCAGACCTCAATCACGTGATTTAAATTCATCCATAAAGCCAAGCAAGGGTTTAAATGAATCAATGAATCAATTTTCATCAAAGTATTTGTTAAATTGCTGTTTTTAGTTAGAATTATTTTTCATAAAAGTAGTAGTTCTTTAAAGTATACAGTTCAGATGTGTTTAGCCTCCGTCATGTAAATGCATTGAATAGAATAACTCATTTATTATGTTCCCAGGAGAAAGATCTCTTTCCCCTTCACAGTCACTGGTCCCAGTCTACCGTGGAGTGCTGTCAGTTTTCTCTTTCCTAACCATTACCACTACTCTATAGTCTCATCTCCCCAACTGCCTAATACAGTGCTGACGCACTGCTTTCTTATCTTGTCAGTAAGTCTGGAAAAAGACCGGGTGATTTATTATTTTTTTTTTTTCAAATCTTCATCTGTACAGTTCGATGAGCCTGTGCCCATGATGGCCTCAGATTCCTGTTCTTGGCTGACAGGAGTGGAACCCAGTGTGGTCTTCTGCTTTTGTACGTCAAGGTTTGATGTTTTGTGAATGCTGACATGCTTTCCTGCTCACCACTGTTGTAAAGAGTAATTATATGAGTTACTATATCCTTCTTGGCAGCTCGAACTAATCTAGGCGTTTTCCTCTGACCTTTCTTATCAACTAGGTGTTTCCACCCACAGAACTGTCGCTCACTCAATGATATTTTGTTTTTCACACCATTCTGTGTAAACTCTGTCGTGTGTGAAAATCCCAGGAGATTAGCAGTTTATGAAATACTCAAACCAGCTCATCAGCAACCAACAACCATGCCATAATCAAAGTCACAGAGATCGCACGTTTTCTTCATTCTGCTGTTTGTTGTGAACATTACCCCAAGGCCTATATCTGCATGATTTTCTGCATTGCACTGCTGCCACATGATTGACTGATTAGATAATTGCATGAATGTGCAGGTGTACAGGTGTTCCTAATAAAGTGGACAGAGAGTGTATATTGAATATCAACATTCTCTCACAGGCACATAATGTGTATCAATGTATAAATTTTTCACTATTCCACTGTGTAGATCTCATTCATTAGTGTAAATTTAACCCACTATGCTATTTGAGTAAGTCCATCCAGCCATTCATTCTCTGTACCACTTATCCTACGTTAGTCACTTCACTTCACTACACAGGGTGACAGGGAGCCTGAAGCTATCCCAGGGGACCTGAGGCACAAGGCAGGGGACACCCTAGACAGGGTGTCAACCCATCACAGGGCACAATCACATACTACAGACAATTTAGCGATGCCAATCAGCCTACAACACATGTCTTTGGACTACGAGAGGAAACCCCCAAGGCACAGGGAGAACATGCAAACTCAGCACACACACACAGGGCAGAGGTGGGATTTGAACCCCCAACCTGAAGGTGCAAGGCAACAGTGCGAACCACTAAGCCACTAAGCCACCGTGCCCCCCTATTTGAGTAAGTATGCCAAAAAAACATAAACATATCGAACATAGCTTCATGTGTAATTCAGTGCCTTTCACAACATATGGCTAGACTATAGCTATAGAGCAATCTATACACAAACATGGATCAGCCAAACTGAAAATGGCCCTCTTTAAGAAGTAATTGCTAATGGGACTGGAAATAAAACAACATGGATATTATTCAATTCAATTCATTTTTATTTGTATAGCGCTTTTTTACAAAGGTCATTGTCTCAAAGCAGCTTTACACAAACAAAAGTAAGTGAAATGAGAGTGTGTGACGTCTCTGATGAGCAAGCAGGG